CTACCTACCTTCCTACCTGCCTACCTACCTACCTACCTACCTACCTACCTACCTACCTACCTATACATAGTGAAGAAAGCAGGCGACCCTTCGGCCTTTTCTTTGGCAGCCGGTGCAGGCTTTGGCTCCTCGCGAAGCAAACATGAACTGAGACTTCGACATCATTTCAAATTTAGGGTTTAGGTCTGGTTTAAGGGGCAACGGCCTTTCACACACTTCGCGCGTCTTGCCTGCCTCATGGAGGCATGCACCAAATTTAGGGTTTTGGGAAATGTGTACACCCGAGTCTTCTCAGGACTATTCTCTGTCGGAACCCTACGTAAACCCTGAACCCCTCTGACGGGCCTCTTTCTTGACAGCCGGTGCGGGCTCTGGCTCCTTGCTCGAGCAAGAGATCGTTACAAGAGCAGCTGAAACGGAAAACCTACGATAGCCCTGCAGATTCTTTAGCCTGCAGATGTTCGTGCGGTTTGTCGATGTTTTTTTTTCGGATTCCTTGTCATGACTTCATTCTGCCTCCCGAACTTCCCTGCACATTGACCACAGCCCTTGAAAGCTGAAACCTCTGTTCCAAAGAGCAGACGGCGACTGGCCTTCTTCCGTTCAGCCGGTGCAGGCTCTGGCTCCGGGTTTAGGGTTTAGGGTCCTTGCTTCAAGAAGCAATGCCGAAGTTCCAGCCAATGGATGTCGTGACTAAATCTAAACTCTAAGCAATCTCTGCATATGGCTGACAGGGCTTCCCACGGCCATCTCAGTTTGTGACGAAACTATCGAAGCCCTGCAAAAGTAAGACCTCTGGCGTTGCATAATGCGCACCCATTCAAGATCGGAATTTGAAGCTACGTGCACTCTCATCTGAGAAAAAAGGTGCCGAATGTCCTTCTTCCGCTCCGCCGGCGCAGGCTCTGGCTCCTCGCTCGCAAGAAAGTATAGGGTTGAGCATGTCTGTGTCTACATGTGGCTGTGCGGGGCCACCATTTTCCCGGCGCACAAGACGCGTCGAGACTGGTACTTGGAGGTTCATGGGTAGTTATAAATGGAGTGATAAGTCCCCTTATAGGTGCATAACTATACTTACCCTATTTATAGGACCACTTTTAACTACCCATGAACCTCCAAGTACGAGGTGGTTCGTGATTGTTGGCTGATTACGAGCCAAGCAGCTTCAGGGACTCTCAGGGAACTCACAAACCCCCTAAACCCAGGAAAAGGCAACGCCAGGCGAAGTCTCAGAGAAACGCAGATCCGGACTCTAAGGGAACTTAAACCCTAAACTCAGGAAAAGGCAAGCCTAAACCCAGGGAAAGGCAACGCCAGGCGAAGTCTCAAGAAAAATACAGATGGGTAGTTTTCTAAAATATAGTACGGCACCCTTATAATATGGACCCTAAAAGGGGCCCTAATTTAGAAAACCACCCAGATGCAGGTTTAGGGTTTAGGGTTTAGGATTTAGGGTTTATTTATAGGGTTTAGGGTTTCAGGATGCAAACTGCGCCTTCTCCCTAGGTCCCCAATATAGTACCGCACCCTTATAATATGGGCCCTAAAAGGGACCCTAATTCAGAGAACTACTCAGATCCCTAAACCGTGGCCTTCTCCCGTGCAGACCGTGCAGGCTCTGGCTCCTGGCCGGACACGAGCTCAGTAGCACGAAGAATCACAATCAAACAAGGCAGCAACTGTATATGCGTATATATATATATATATATGTACATATATATATATATAGACGTACTTTTTTGATAGATACATGAATTGCTATCAATTATAGGAACAAGACATAAGATTAACAAAAGCGGCAGTCAGAAGCATCATGACTACAGCCCCGCCTTCTCCTGAGCTGCAGCTGGTTGGACGGGTTCGGTTCGAGATTCTGCTTCGGCTGAGCTTTCGGGTTGCGACTCCTCGGGGATCCGTTTAAAAGAAGCTTCTGAACAGTTTCGGATACATGGGCCTCTGAAAGGGTTCAGGTTTGGGTTTAGGTTTTAAGGAGGGTTTGTATCAGTGTGTTGAAGATGGATTTAGGATTTTAGGGCTTGTAGGGTTCATCTGTAGGACGTCAAGTTTGGGGACGAGGGTCTAGAGATTTCGTATGGTTCAGTGAATGGATTGCCTGTAGAGTTTAGGATTTCGAAGTTTTACCTCTAACTGCCATAGCTAGGCGACCTTTTCGCAGGGTCCTTGCATTCGGGTTGAGACTACGACCCTACAGAACGGTGGGTGATGGCAGTTCAGGGTAAGGTAGGGTTGGGTGTGCACAGCTCTGCAAAAGACACAAGCACACACGCGAGCTCCTCTGCTGAATCGGCATGTTCAGACTCCTCTTCCGCCTCTTCCTCTTCCGCCTCTTCCTCTTCCTGCTCTTCCTGCTCTTCCTGCCCCTGCTCCTCCTGCTCCTCCTGCACAGGATGGCAGGGTAGAGACAGGTAGGCCGTGTTTTCGGTGCACCTTGGGGAAAGCGTGCTCGGCAAGAACGATGGGCGAAAGATCTACTTCCATCTACTGACTGTCACCTGAGAATACTTGCAACGCTAACGTTGCTGTGGGGCTGCTTATACTCTCCAGACACGAGCCTACCGTAGAGTCCGTAGAGTGTCCAGGCTCGCCGACCCCACCCGGAACAACGGCCCCACGCTGAGGGGCCCGGGTGTCGAAGCCCCAAACCCTAAACCTTGAGACATCAAAGACCGCAAGAGAAATACCTCCTCGTCCCTGGCTGGCTCGTCACGCGCAGGCTCGGAAGGTTCCGATTCCTGTGGCTGCCAGAACAGCAACAACTGCTGCAAGCATGGAGTGACAAACAATTGCACACGCCAAAAGAACTTACACCTTCACCTGCTGCATGCATGCTTGCATGCAGATATGCATGAGGACGCTCACTAGCCAATAGGCGTCTTGTATGACACCCACCAGCCGGCGACGACGAGGACGATGATGATGATGAACACGACGATGGTGATGAGTGATGATGGGCGTCATGTTGGCTGTCGGATGGAGTTGCATGTGAGGTTGATCATCGTGCTTAGCATCTTCTTCATATCTCGGGCATCGTCACCCTCATTCAGTGACTATAGCATGAAGCAGAAGCAAAGGAGTTCTCCATGCTTCTTGGCTTGAGTGTACAGAAGCCGGCCGGTATCTCCATCAGAAGAATGCACACATGCATGTCTGTATGTATAAGTATGTGTGTACGGATGTATGTATGGATGCATGCTGTATGCAGACGTCTGAAAGCAAAGCAAGCACAAAGCGTTCGTCACCTTTACACCTACTAGAATTACTACAAGCGCAAACCTCTTCAACGATGTCTGTAGGTTGAAAACATAAACCAGAAAACCCTCCAAAACCCTAAACCCACCGTCCAGTCACAACGCGAGGCCTCCGCCTCCGCTGCCACGGGGGCCGGCGCTGCTTCGGCTTCCGACTCTGCGGCCTCCTCACCTGGGTACTTCGGTTTTAAGGGTTAGGGTTTAGGGGCAAGCCTCAAACACGCTTCGTTCGTGTATTTTGGGCTAATATAGAGGCGTTAGTGATCAGACTATCGCTGCGGGGTATCTAGGGACTATAGCGGATTTCTGCCTACAAAATCTCCTATACCCCCAAAACCCTACAACAGTATAAACCCTGCCAGGACCCTTGTAAAACTGGTGATCCAAGACCCCGAGCTACTTCCTTAAGTTCCTTCAACCCTAAACCACTTTTTCCCAGGGCTCCCGTTTCCTAAAGATTGGGTTTCTGGGCTACATAATACATGTATGGGTGTAAATGTAGAGTAACCTGATGTAGGGGCCTCAATAATTAGAACAGGGTTTTGGGCTATACTATACCATGAATATAATACGGAACCCCCAAAATAGTTTAGGTAATTACTAGGGCCCCGATATTAATTACTAGCTGGGTAACTGGAGCCCCATAAGGTTTGTTCAGCTCCTGAAACCTTGGACCAGTCGCTGGAGGCGTCAGCCTCTGCTTGCTCGCTCGGCTCGTTGGATTCTTCCTGCGGGTATTTAAGGGTGATGCTTGCAACATTTAGGTCCTAAATGTTTCCGAAATTCTAGGGATCTTAAAGGCTCAATAGCGTCAACAGCACCGTCCTTTTTTTTACAGCTTTCTGCTTGTTTCGTATGTGTTGTAATGGCTTTTGAAAGGTATAGGTCAGTGTAGGTTTTGTGAGGCTCATGGCTGGGGATTTTAATTGCAGGTGCCGTAGCAGGGATGTTCCAGACCTCGCCAAGCACTAGATGTGAGTCTTAATGACCATATAACTGCATAGTTTTACAAACAAAGAAAAACTCTTGTGCACAGTTCTTAACTTCTAAGAGGGTATTAATTTGCCCACACACGAGTCTGTTTATATGCATAAATACGCACGTACAGGGAGGGAGAGAGAGAGAGAGAGGCACACCCACACTCTCTCCCAGTCTGACGCACGCACACACACACACACACACACTCTCACGCAAACACATGCTACACAGAGTCAGTTATGTCCAGATGTGATGTGCTTGTGTAGATATACATATACACACTGTCGCAAGTGTTTAGAAACGTAGACATACACATGCTGTTGGTCTCGCAAAATAGCCATCCTCATCATACCACCACCACCACCACCACCACCACCACCACCACCACCATGATGCTGCTAGTGGCAAGCATAGTGGTGGCAGATGGTGGCAGTACGAAGTAGGATGAACTGTTGAACTACTTGGAAGGCCGTCGGTTTGATATGTGAATATACCAGTTAAGCAAAATAGTACATCGGATAAGTGAGAATAATAATTTGGGTAAGTATGGGTTACTG